AGTTATACTGACATCAAATATAGTGAAAGCAAGGGTTATACTGTGGGGGAGGGACATACAAAGCAAGAAAGAGATAATCTTATAAATGTGTTAGAAACACATGCATGAAAGAAAAAAACATTAAAATACACATCTAAGGGTTCATTTTCCTGACATCACATTATCTGACCTTTTCCACTTGACTTATACATATACTAGATATTACAAATAAGGGAAACCATGGGACCTACGTTTCCTTGGGCCTGGCTTACTTCACTTAATATAATTTTTTCCAAGTTTTTCCATTTCCTAACAAATGGGGCAATGTCATTCTTTCTGATGGAGGCATAGAATTCCATTGTGTATATATACCATATTTTCTTGATACATTCATCTACAGAGGGGCATCTGGGTTGGTTCCATATCTTAGCTATGGTAAATAATGCTGCAATAAACATAGTTTTGCTGGTAGCTTTAGTGTGGTCTTGTTTGTAAACATTAGGGTAAATGCCCAAAAGTGGGATTGCTGGGTCATAGGGGAGCTCTATGTGGAGTCTTTTGAGGAACCTCCATACTGCTTTCCAAAGTGGTTGAACAAGTTTACATTCCCACCAACAATGAAGTAAGGTTCCTTTCTGTCCACATCCCCTCCAGCATCTGTTGTTGTTAGAGTTCTTGATTTTTGCCGTTCTAACTGGAGTGAGGTGATATCTCAATGTTGTTTTGATTTGCATTTCTTTTATGGCTAGGGATGTTGAACATTTCTTCATGTGTCTATTGGCCATCCTTCTTTCTTCTTCAGAGAAGTTTCTCTTTAAGTCTTTCGCCCACTTATTTATTGGGCAGTTGTTTCTTTGAGGATTTGTTGTTGGGGGATTTAATTTTTTAAGTTCCAAGTATATTTTAGATATGAGACCCTTGTCCATTGTATGGCTAGTAAAGATCTTCTCCCAATCCGTGGGCTTTCTATTGATCTTGCTAGCTATGTCATTTGCCCTGCAGAAGCTCTGCAACTTTATGCAATCCCATTTGTCCAACCTTTCTTTGATTTGTTGTGTTTCCGGGTCTCTATTCAGAAAATTTCGGCTTGAGCCAAGGAGATCCAGGGTTTCTCCTATTCCATCCTGTAATGTTTTCAGAGTATCTGCTTTGAGTTCAAGGTCTTTGATCCATTTGGAGTTGATTCTGGTGCAGGGTGATATATAAGGATCTAGCTTAAGTTTTCTACATGTAGTTAACCAATTTTGCCAGCACCATTTACTGAAAAGGCTGTCTTTCTTCCATTCTATTGTTTTAGCTCCCTTATCGAAGATTAGATGGCTATAGGTCTCTGGGTTCATTTCTGGGTTTTCAATTCTATTCCATTGGTCCTGAGGTCTGTTCTTATGCCAATACCAAGCTGTTTTGATTATTATGGCTTTATAGTAGAGTTTGAAGTTTGGTATTGATATTCCTCCAGCAGTGTTCTTTCCATTCAGGAGCGTTTTTGCTATTCGGGGTCTTTTATTGTTCCATATGGATTTTTGGATTGCCTCTTCTATTTCCATGAAGAATGAGGGTGGAATTTTGATAGGTATTGCGTTGAATTTGTAGATAGCCTTGGGAAGTATTGCCATTTTCACGATGTTAATCTTTCCAATCCAGGAGAATGGGAGGTTTTGCCATTTTTTAAGTTCTGTGTTGATTTCCTTTTTCAAGATTTTAAAGTTTTCATCATAGAGGTCCTTCACTTCTTTAGTTAAGTTAATTCCTAGGTATTTTATTTTTTTGTGGGGCTATTACAAATGGAGTTTCTTTCCTAATTTCAGCCACACTTTTCTCATTGTTGGCATACAGAAAAGCCATTGATTTTTGGGGGTTAATTTTATAACCTGCTACTTTGCCAAAGTTTTGAATCAGCTTGAGTAATTTGGGAGTGGAGTCTATGGGATTCTTTAAATACAAGCTCATGTCATCTGCAAAGAGGGAGAGTTTTATTTCTTCTTTCCCTATTTGGATCCCCTTTATGTCTGCATCTTGTCTTATTGCTGTAGCTAGGCATTCTAATACTAGATTGAAGAGAAGTGGAGAGAGTGGTCATCCTTGTCTTGTTCCTGAGTTAAGAGGAAATGGCTTTATTTTTTGACCATTAAGTATAATGCTGGCTGTAGGTTTGTCATATACAGCCTTTATTGTATTGAGGAATGTTCCATGGATTCCTAATTTTTCCAAAACCTTCATCAGGAAGGGGTGTTGGATCTTGTCGAACGCTTTTTCTGCATCTATTGAGATAACCATGTGGTTCTTATTCTTGCTCCTGTTGATGTGATGAATAATATTAATTGATTTGCGTATATTGAACCAGCTTTGCATCCCTGAAATGAATCCTGTTTGATCGTGGTGTATGATTTTTTGGATGAATTGTTGAAGGCGGTTGGCCAAAATTTTGTTGAGAAGTTTTGCATCAATGTTCATCAAAGAAATGGGTCTATAGTTCTCTTTCTTTGATGAGTCCCTGCCTGGTTTTGGGATGAGGGTTATGATGGCTTCATAGAATGTGTTCGGTAGTGAGCTTTCTCTTTCAATTTCATTGAAGAGTTGGAGGAGAATTGGTGTGAGCTCTGCTTTGAAGGCCTTGTAAAATTCCGCTGTAAAACCATCTGGTCCTGGACTTTTCTTAGCTGGGAGGTCTCTTATTGCTGTTTCTATTTCAATGCTTGATATGGGCCTGTTAAGATAGTTTAACTCATCTTGGTTTAGTTTTGGCATGTCAATATTTGCTAGGAAGAGGTCCATTTCTGTCAAGTTCTCAAACTTATTAGCATAAAGTTTTGAGAAGTATTCCCTTATAATGTTCTGAATCTTGGTTGTTTCTGTGGTGATGTTTCCATTCTCATCTCTGAGTTTATTAATTTGGGTGTGTTCTCTTCTTTTTCTGAAAGGATTTGCTAAGGGTCTGTCTCCATTTTTGGTTTTCTAGTGGTTTATTGGAGATAAGAGTCTCATGGACTCTCCTGCCCAGGTTGGCTTTGAACCGTGATCTTCATACCTCAGCCTCTTGAGTAGCTAGGATTACAGGCGAGAGTCATCGGTGCCCGGTTTTACCTGTTTCTGTTTTATTGTTTATTTTCTGTTTATTTTGTTTTATTCTGTCTACTTTATTGTCTATTTCTGACAAGCTGGGGTTTGGAGTTTTCTCTGGAACAAAAGAAAGATAGTAGTCAGAGGAAAATTATAGCTCTGAATACCTAGATCAAGAAGTTGGAGAAAACGGCAGTTTTCTTAACTCTTTGAAGACCTACTGCTTACTCAGTAATGAATTGTTCACTTTCCATGTTTAAGTATTGTCTGTGATGGGTTTTCCTGTTGAATTCTACTTTTATTGTATTGACAGGATACATGCTATATATCCTTAGATCTTTTCCTTGCTCATTAATGGTTCTGTCTTTTTTATTGAAATTTTGACTTTTATGGTTTTTGTAGGAAATGTTTGCTAGAGTTACATTCTTTAACTGTGCTTTTCTGGGAACATCTTTATCCTTCCTTCAGTACTAAAAGGGATATATTCTTCATAAACTATTCCTGATGGATGAATTCAGTATTTTTTATCACCAATACTGAGAATTCTGTCAATACTGTAAAACACGTAATACTAAAGTGTTCTCCTGGCTCTTATACATTGTACTGAGGAGTCAGCAGTTTGAGAAGCAGGGACAGAGCTATGTGATATGGCTCCAAATTCTGTTCTAGTCTTAAGAACCTACCCTGATTAATATTTCACTTGTGACAGCTTGATCATAAGATGGCTTGGTGTAGATTTTAGATCAGATCAGAAATTTGATTATCCTTTCATGTTTAGGTAACTTACTGCCTATATTCTGTTTAGAAGATCTTACTCACATGATAGGCTTCCATTATGATTGTTTCACATATACTTACAGTATGTGTTGAACAAGTTAATCCGTTCATTTGTGTTTCCATCATACCTCCATTGTTTCCTTTTAAAACAATACCAGTTGATTTCATTATATCAATTTCTTTAGAATATGCACACACGCAACAGGACAATGAGAAAGATTCCTTTGATGCTCTTTCTTTCATTGTAGTTTCTTTTCAGTATCTCAATCTAAATATATTGGCAAGAGAGTAGTCATCACTGCATTTTTCCAAGGTGGTCTTGGAACTGAGATTTCAATGTAAACCTTCCTTGCAATTCTCTCCTCATCCACTGTAGCTGAGGTTCCCCTCACCATAATGATTTTATTGGAGTTGGATGCATCCCTTTTGTTTTGGTACATAAATAAAAATAAACTCCCCTCACTTCATATTTGAGCTTTTGCTCTGGTTGATATTGCAGGAAGAGCTGTTCAATATGTTGGGTCTGTGAGCAGAGATTGCTATAGAATCTTTCATATGTAACACTTTGTTTCTGAAAGTTGCTCTTAAATTGAACATTTCTTAATTAGACTGGCCTGCTACATAAACACATAACATAAACTAGACAACTTAACTAAACTTATTTTTCACACAGATGGACCTAGTTGCTCTAAGATAAAGGCAAAAGAATATTTGCTGTCTCATGAAAACATAATAAAATGGACAACTGCTTTTTCCAGTGGTCCATGTGTTAGTAAGGAGGGGAAAGTGCTCTTTCTCTCACTCTATCTCTCTCATGTTAAATAAGTTTCTGAATCTCTTTCATGACAAATTCCCTTCATGTCCTTACCTAGTTCAATATACAAGCATAAGACACTACATGTTCACATTCCTTCCTACTTGAGGTTCATTAGCAAAGAAACAAGCATTCAATCCAGCAAAATCATAAGTTTTGAAATACTCCTCCTCAATTTCTATGCTCATTATGTAGGATCTTCAAGAACTATCAGTTTGTTTTGGCTTTGGTTTTTGCTATTGAGGAAATCAACAAGAATCCTTATCTTTTATATAACTTGACCCTGGGAGTTGATATCTATGATGTTGAATTCAGAGCTTGGACAATTTTTAAGAATCCCTTCATTTGGCTCTTTGGGGAATACAAGATTCCAAACTACTCTTGTATGAGAGACAGGAGGTCTATAGCAGTACTTACAGGACCATCAGGAATAACATCTGACCAGATTGGGACATTGCTGGGACTCTACAGATTTCCACAGGTGAGGGTGGGAGGTGTGGAAGGATATAAAATGTATAATTTGGTGCCATTTCAGGTGTTAAAAGAGAATGAAAGAGACTTGATTTATAAAACTATCAAATTTTTGATATTAAAGAGTAAGTGCTCAAGTGAGTTATATATATATACACACATATATATGCATATATATAGTCCAATGATTGAAAAAGTAGATGGAAGAGTTTAAACAGATAAATGCTAATTTATCATTCCAAGCTATATTAATAATTTTCTTTTTTAAATTAAGAAATGGAAAATGACTTTGCAGTGTGCAGATATGTTGAGCAGGGTATTGATGGCTCACACCTGTAATCCAGGCTACTCAGAATACTTATATCTCCAATTACCCAACAAAGAACACAAAGTTGATGTGTGACTCAAATGGTAGGGCACCAGTCTAGAGGGAAAAAAGCCAAGGAAGTTTAAGAGGCCATGAATTTGTATCCCTGTACTGGCATGCACATAAATACACACACACACACACACACACACACACACACACACACACACACACACACACACAGGGGAATATATATGTTGAATGAAGAAAGCATCAGAAAAAGAAAGGATAAATGTGTTCTCTCATATGTGAAAGTTAAATCTAAAATATGAACATGTAATGTGAAATAAATATGAAACATGCACATAGCCATTTACATACACACATGACCAATCTGACTAAAATATGGTGCATGTAGGAATGGAACACAATGATTTAACTTTTCTGATCTACTAACCGTATAAATAAAGAACACCAGAGAACTGAATTACACTTGTCTGACTAGAATAGATGTTAAGGGAAAAAAGGCAGATGAATAAAGAATGGATAGGTGGGATAAATAACTTAATATTCAATGTACACATGTGGAAATGGAATTACGAAAGTCAAGGAGTGGTTGGGGTTGGTCTAGATGGAAAATGTTGATAGAGATATTGGACAAGATCAACAGATATATAAAGAATAATTAAATGATACTTTCAAAAAAACTACAAAAAATGTATCTTCTACCTACTTCAACTGGTTCTTAACATACTTAAAGACTGAGATTGTGTTGCATGGCAACCTCCTCATTCAAGAAGAATCCAATTTTCTTTCCCTTTAGTTTACCTTTGGGCCTTTTGATCATGCCCTGAGTGACCATAACAAGTTTCCTGCTCTCTATCAGATGGTCCCACAGGACACATCAATAACCACGGCCATGGTCTCCTTACTGCTTCACTTCAGCTGGAGCTGGGTGGGACTGTTGACCTCACAGGATGAGAATGGTTCATGGTTTCTGGCTGAATTGAAAGAAGAGATGGCCAAAAACAGACTTTGTTTAGCCTATGAGGTTGTGATCTCAAGCCAATCCATGTCACATATATTCAAAGTCATGGCAGTTTACAATGAGATAAATAAGGCTTCAGCAAGTGTCCTCATCATATATGGTGATAAAGATTCACTAATATTTATAATAATGAGTCTTGAACGAATTTTAATACAAGGAAAAGTTTGTGTCATGAATTCAGAGTGGGATTTCACCATGAAAACGAGATATTTCATGCTAGGCTCATTGCATGTGCCTCTTATTTTTATACACCATCATGAGGATGTTTCTGGTTTCATAGATTTTGTCAAGGCAGTTAATCCTTCCAAATACCCAGAAGACTTTTTTCTTGCTTGGTTGTGGTTTCTGACTTTTAATTGCTCACATGCTGAGTCTGACTGTGTAACATGGGACAACTGTGCTCATGAAGCCTCTTTGAAATGGTTGCCTGGGCATATTTTTGACATGACTATGTCTGGACACAGTTACAATATATACAATGCTGTGTATGCTGTGGCCCAGGCTCTCCATGAGATGCTTCTTCATCAAACAGAAGTTCATATGATGGGAAATAGCAAAGGAGCACTGCCTTCCCCTGCACAGGTAATTTCTCCTTTTTTGGAGGGCACACACCATGAACAAAGGTTCTTCCTAGAGGTGTTTCTTATTGCAAAAATTTCAAAATTTCCAAATCTATGCATGCATTTTTGTACATATATATACAGACATTTATATAAGTGTTTTTATTCATAGGTCATTCATATCTTGGTTTCTGAAATTAATGAACACATATTTCAGGTTTTGAAGTAATTGTCTCAAAGGTGAAGGTTTTTCTTTGTATTAACAAAAACTATAGTAAGTACAAAATTGGATAAACATAGATTAATATTTAAAAACTAAATATTCTGTGTTCTTCAAAACCCTATGTAATACTTTATGTTTCAATGTCTGTGAGATACTCTAGATATGTGTGCCCATTCTCTAAAGAAAACAATGGGCCAGTAAGAAGTCTACAATATATTCCATGTTTCTATAATATTTTTGCCAGCCCAGTGCCTGGGCTATGACCCTGAGTCCTTTGGGCTCAAGGCTTTTGCTCAACCTCTTGAGCACAGCACTACTGACTTTTTCTGAATAGTTTATTGGAGAAAGGGCTCTCAGGGATTTTTCTTCCCAGGCTGGCTTTGAAGCATGATCCTCTAATCTGGGTCTCCTGAGTAGATAGTGATACATTCATGAGTCACCATCACTTTGCTTATGAAGTCATTTAATTACCAATAATTTCAATAGGTTCCTAGCTAGTATGTTAAAATTTGTAAATTCATTTTTTCTGTACAAGTTTCTTCAGTCATTGCAAGGATGATCTGCTGAACAGAATTGTCCATATTTTTCATAAGTGACTTAGTTTCATTGAACTTTTGGTTTTAAAATTTGGTAAGTCAAAATATAGACATTCATAAAAATAATGGTTGTGACAAACTGTCGCAAAATGTTTTTTTCTTGGAAAAAAATGCTCTTCTGTGAGAAGAATTCCAGAAAGATTATTTTTATTTCTTCATAGATTTTAAAATGTGGATGCTAAAGCCAAAATGCAAGGAGATATGACAAAGTAAATAGGACTCAAGAAACAAAAGACAACGATCCATTTTGTCTATCATTGCTAAATGACTCCATGTTCTTGAGCATATATATATATATATATATATATATATATGTATATATATATATATATATATATGCACACAATGGAGGGAATCTAGGAAGAGGATGCAGAATAAGTGGGAAACAGAAGAACATTCAACAAAGGGGCCCATCAGCTGCACTGAACATAGAAGAAAAAGAAATAAGCAACCCAAAGACAGAGATGGGAAGGGAGGAATGTGAGGGAAAGAGGGAACAGCTTACATTAAGCAAAAGGAAATAAATGTAAACATCATCTGATATGGAAAAAGTAATTGTATTTTCAAAGCTCATAGAATTCACAAACTTTATAGACAAAGATAATGACAATTTGCCTTGTGAAGGTTCAAATGTGTTTGTGATTTTAACCAAGTATCACTATTCCACAATACTGTGAAATATGTGAAATTTATGTAATCACCTAATCTCAATTTAAAAAAAAGAAAAGAAAAAAAAGTGAGAGAAGGCTTGGGTTAGGAGCGATGGGTGACAATGTTGTCAGGCACTTTGCGTTCAGATACAGTTTTGTAGAATCAGAAATTCTTTGTACAACTACTTAAAGATAATAATGAAAATGTTGAAAAAGGACATCAAGAGAAGTTTTTAGTTTTATGGTCTAGTTTGTGGGGATTATGCAAGATACAATGTACAAATCTGGAAATCAACAGCATTTAAACAAAAACTATTGTATTTATAGAATTGATGCAAGATTTCAAGTCAGCCCCAATTTCAGAATGTAAAACAGTGCAGTTATATTTTTGCTATAATAATGCAAGTTGTAAATAAGAAAATCATTGAATTCACAGAAAACAAAAACAACCTACCACCAAGTGGGATAAAGACTTAAACAGAGACTCCTCTGGAGAAGAAATTAAAATAGCCAATGGACACATGAAGAAGTGATGAACATCTCTGGACACAAAAGAAATGCAAATGAAAACAAAACTGAGATTCCACCTCACTCCAGAAAAACACAAAAAAATTACAAAGTCAAAATGTAGACATTCATAAAAATAGTGGTTGTGGAAAGCTGTAGAAAAATGGTTTCTCTTGAAAAAACTTCCATCTACTCCTATTTTGAGTGAAAAGAATACTTTATTTCTCTGCAGAGAAGTTTCTCTTTAAGTCTTTAGCCCACTTATTTATTGTGCAGTTGTTTCTTTGAGAATTTCTTATTGAGGATTTAATTTTTTTGAGTTCCAGGTATATTTTAGATTAAGACCCTTGTCTGTTGTAGCTATGTCCTTTGCCATGCAGAACCTCTGCAATTTCATTCAATCCCATTTGTCCAACCTTTCTTTGATTTGTTGTGTTTCTGGGTCTCTTTTAAGAAAATTTTGGCCTTTGCCAAGGAGACCTAGGGCTTCTCCTTTTGCATCCTGTAGTGTTTTCAGAGTGTCTGCTTTGATGCCCAGGTCTTTAATCCATTTGTAGTTGATTCTGGTGCAGGGTGATATATAAGGATCTAGCTTTAGTTTTCTACAAGTAGTTAACCAATTCTACCAGCACCATTTACTGAAGAGGCTGTCTTTCTTCCATTCTATTTTTTTTTTAGCTCCTTTATCAAAGATTAGATGGCTATAGGTCTGTAGGTTCATTTCTGGAATTTCAATTCAATTCCATTGGTCCTGAGGTCTGTTCATGTGCCAGAACCAAGCTGTTTTGATTACTATGGCTTTGTAGTAGATTTTGAAATTTGGTATTGATATTCCTCCAGCACTGTTCTTTCTGTTGAGGATCGTTTTTGCTATTTGGGGTCTTTTATTGTTCCATATATATTTTTGGATTGGCTCTTCTATTTTCTTGAAGAATGAGGTTGGAATATTGATAGGTATCACAATGAATTTGTAGATAGCCTTGAGAAGTATTGCCATTTTCACGATATTGATCCTACCAATCCAGGAGCATGGGAGGGTTTTCCAGTTTCTAAGTTCTGTTTTGATTTCCATTTTCAGGATTTTAAAGTTTTCATCATAGAGGTCATTCACTTTTTGGTTAAATCCTAAGTATTTTATTTTTTGTGGGACTATTACGAATGAAGTTGCTTTCCTGATAGACATAGCATTTCCTGAAGAAATACTCAACATCCTTAGCTATAAAAGAAAAGCAAATCAAAACAACATTGAGATACCACTTCACTTCAGTTAGAATGGCTATAATCTAGAACTCAAATAAAAACAGGTTCTGGAGGAGATGTGGACAGAAAGGAACTCTATTGCATTGTTGATGGGAGTGTAATCTTGTTCAACCACGTTGGAAAATAGTATTCAGGTTTCTCAAAAGACTCCACATAGTGCTCTCCTATGACTCAGCAATCCCACTTTTGGGTATTTACCCATATGACCACAAACAAGACCATACTAAAGCTACCAGCACAATTATGTTTATCGCAGCATTATTTACCATAGCTAAGATATGGAACCAACCCAGATGCCCCTCAGTAGGTGAATGGATCCAGAAAATGTGGTATATATACACAATGGAATTCTATGCCTCCCTCAGAAAGAATGACATTGCCCCATTTGTTAGGAAATGGAAAGACTTGTAAAAAATTATATTAAGTGAAGTAAGCCAGGTGCAAGGAAACATAGGTCCCATGGTTTCTCTTATTTGCAATAACTAATATGTCTGAGTCAAGCAGAAAAGGTCAGATAAGTTGATGTTAGGTGAAATGAACCCCAAGAGAGCATTCAAATGTTTTTTTTATTTCTTATAATTGTTTCTAACATTTATAAGTTGATTTCTTTGTTGCTTCATATGTCCCTTCCCCACGGTAAAACCCCTGTTTTCACTGTATTAATGTTGGTATACTTTGTGGAGGGGAAGGAAAAAAAAGTTGTATAAATAGGGATACATGTGGACCCACTGTAACAATGAGATGTGAAAGATGTTATGTGAAGGACGAACTTTACAACTTTGGCAAGGAGGAGGGGGATGAGTGGGTGGGGCCAGGGGCAGGGGAGATGGGAAGGGGAAACAATGGAGGAGGCAACAATGCTTGATAACAAATGTACTCATTACTTTGCCCATGTAATTGTAACCCCTCTGTACAGTATTTTCACAATAAAAAAAGAATACATTATTTTCCAGAAAGGTTATTTCTAATCTTCCAAAGATTTTCTTCTGGGATGCTTCAGTAGTGTCTCTTCTATTGTTGTTTTCAAAACCTGAGAACAAAAACAATCAAGATCTTTCTTACTTCATGGTTTCTCTCTTAACTCTGGGATATACTTCACCATAAGATGTCTCTCTTTTAGCTGCACCTTTTCCTGAACAACAACCAGTTTTACAATCCTGCTGAAAATCACATTATTTGGGATGAGAAAAGGAAATTGGAGCCAGAGTATGACATTCTGAATATTTGGAACTTTCCAGAAGGTCTTGAACTTGCAGTGAAAATAGGAAAGTTTTCTCCATATGCTCTACATGGCAATCAACTGTCTTTATCTGAAGATATGGTAGAGTGGGCCATAGGAACTACAGAGGTAGGTTGGATCTATCCCTAATAATTTTTAAGGACACACCAATCAGCAAAAGTCTCTCTTTAAATGTATACATGACTGAGGATCACCAACTTTCTCCCATAATCGTAGCTACTCAGATAGTGGAGATCTGAATACCATGGTTTAAAGTCAGCCCAAACAGGAAAATCAGTGAGACTGTTAACTCATTTAACCATTAACAGTCTGAAAGTTAGCTATGTTTCCAGTACTAGAGTGCTAAACTTGAGCAAAGAAGCTCAAATCTGGTTCCCAGATCTTGAGTTATAACCCAAAGATCAACACTAAAACAATTAAATATGTTTATAAATGTTGAATTAGAATATTGTCATAAGATATAAATTATATTTTTCTCAGTGGGTTTCTAACACTGTGATAAAGTACCTGCTGAGTTGCTTTACAGGATTGAAAGGTTTCTTTTGCTCCCTTCTATGGAGATTGATTCAATGGTTAATTGGCATGCTACTTAACCATCTTTGGAGAAAGGAGTCCTTGAAGACACCTGTGAGAATATTACCACCTCATGACCACTGGAAAATGAAGATGAAGATACCATAGGCCTGAGGTTCACACAACACTATATAAAGGCTGTCTTCCTTTTTTTCTTCTCCATATCTCAGATGAATACGAGGCAAGATATGACATGATCTCAAGGGAATTCCATAGGGCTGTACACTAGCAATTACTTTTTATTTTTTACTACTGCTTCCACCTTTTAAAGATTCCATAATTTGCAATAATTCAACAGACTAGAAGTCAAGGTTGTAACACATAAGCCTTTATGAATATGGAATATGAACTCTACAACAGAATTCAATTAGTTGATTGCCCATACCTGCATAGAAACCTTTTCTTTAGTAATCCATTTATTAAAACAATGGGTTTTGTGAAGGGTTAGGTAGACATCTGAACAGTTACTGACACATCCATGATTTTCCTCAGACTCCTTACTCTATCTGCAGTGAGAGTTGTGGTCCTGGATTCAGGAAATCTCCTCAGGAGGAAAAGGCTACCTGTTGCTTTGATTGTACCCCTTGCCCAGAGAATGAGATTGCTAATGGCACAGGTAATTCTTTGACTTGTTAAGAAATTCTTCTTCCTACCCTAGTTGTCCTCAACCCAAACAAATCCATGCAAAAGTTGAATGTTTGGATTACAGAGCCCCTCTTCCTTTTCTCTATTAATAAATTAATTTTGACAAATGTTTGCATTGTTAATTGTAATATAGTAGATCATGGCTTTGAATTCAACATGTGGTAATATTTTCTTATCTATTGCAATAAAATTACCTCCAAGAATCCTTCTTATCACTAATCATTAGGACAAGTATACATTCTAACATGAAATTAAACATAAGAGTTATTAATGATGGTGTTCATCTTAACCCACACAAAAAGATGTATCTTGCATATCATTTCTCAGTGCCCAGAACTCTTCTTAGCACAGGACAAGGGCTCAGAAAGCTGGCTTCACTTTAGGAAGTGAGCATGACCATCGAGTGTCCAAGAGTGGACACTGTGCAGTTTCACAGGTGAGTAAGCGAGACAAACATAATGAAATAAATTCAAGGATAAGATGCCATAGGGTAAAATTAATGTTTTATAGAAACATGTAGTAAATCCTAATCTGTATACTACAATTTTAATACGATTGCACAATTTAATGAGAGGGAGAAAAATGTTGAAAATTTTACTTCAAATATTACAATAATCCAACTCTTACATTACCAATACCTGTAAAAATCAATGAAGAAAAAAGTTGAATAAAATGCTTGCATAAAGAAAAAGATGGAAATAGGAAGTGGTTATGGTTGAAAAAATAATAATTTTTTATAATAGTAAATGCTGACATCTTAGGAATACCACCCAAGTGAACAATTTCCTAAATTCTTTGAAGAAAAAGAAGTTCACAACAAGAACTAATGGTAGTTTACACTTCTCACCAGATATGGAGCATTGTGTGAAGTGTCCAGATCATCAGTATGCCAACACACAGAGAAACCAGTGCCTCCTGAAAACTGCAAGTTTCCTGGCTTTTGAAGATCCCTTGGGCATAGCTCTGGCATGCATGGCTCTTTGCTTCTCTATACTAACTGTTGTTGTTCTTGGAGTGTTTGTGAAACACAAAGACAGTGCCATTGTCAAGGCCAATAACCGGACTCTCAGCTACATCTTGCTCATCTCCCTCATTTTCTGTTTCCTCTGTTCCTTGCTCTTTCTTGGCCATCCCAACCCAGTCACCTGTATCCTACAGCAGATGACATTTGGAATTTTGTTTACTGTGGCTGTTTCCACAGTGTTGGCCAAAACTGTGACTGTGGTTTTGGCCTTTAAAGCCACTTCCCCAGGGAGAATGATGAGGTGGCTGCTGGTATCTGGGGCTCCTAACTTCATCATTCCCATCTGCACCCTCATCCAGGTGATGCTTTGTGCACTCTGGATGGGAACCTCTCCTCCCTTTATTGACACAGATGCACACACTGAACATGGTCACATCATCATTCTGTGCAACAAGGGCTCCCTCACTGCCTTTTACTGTGTCCTGGGATACCTGAGCTCCCTGGCCCTGGCCAGTTTCACTGTAGCTTTTCTGGCCAGAAACCTGCCTGACACCTTCAATGAAGCCAAGTTCCTCACCTTCAGCATGCTGGTGTTCTGCAGTGTGTGGCTCACCTTCCTGCCTGTCTACCACAGTGCCAAGGGGAAGGTCATGGTGGCTGTGGAGGTCTTCTCCATCTTGGCGTCTGGGGCAGGGCTCCTTGGCTGCATTTTTGCCCCAAAGTGCTACATCATCTTCTTAATGCCAAATAAAAATTCTCTACATGGTTTCAGAGATAAAAGGCATTGTAGGAGAAATATGCATGCTTATGATTAAACTCAGAGGTTTGATTAGTATATAGAAGGTCTGCTCTAAATCTACAGCAATTATCTCTTCTTATAGTAGTTTATATTATGGAAAATTTATTGTGCATTTTCCTTGTAGTGGTTGTCACAAGTGATGATGATCACCATTTAAACTCTAATTAAGTTTCTATATTTTTAGTTCCTCTGATTTAATCTGTGCTTAATCCTATCATCCCCTCTTCTTAATGTCTTTTCACTATTGTCTTTTTCAATAACTTTTCTCATTTTTATGCATATTAACTTCAGTCTGCACAACACCATGTTGCAGAGTCCTCAAATCCATTTCATTAATACTTTCCTCTTCACAAATTTACATCTTTTAGTATCATCGTTGGAGATTGTTTTGCTCAATACTTGTTTATTTCTACTCACACCTTCTCCTTTTGAAATTATCCTGAGTCTTTTTTGTGGGACCATTCTCTTTATCCCGATCTCTCTTTCTCTTTGTCTCTCACCATCTCCTTCTCTGTCTTCCTCTCCCTTTCACACTGCTTTCCTCATTTAACGTAGGAATGACTTGTATATGTTACAGAAAATACACTTTGATTTAAGAATACAATGTATAGGATTTTTTTGAATTTTCTCCTGATTAAAGTCTGTAATGCATAATGGTATCCCCCTTGAAACATGGATATACTTTTTATTTTATCATTGACTAATCACTCTTTATTAATTTGAAACAAAGAATTTTAAATATTAAGTATATAGATAAGATTATTTCTTATATTGTGATCACTTCTGAAAATCTCTTAACTTGAACATTTTCATTTGTCACATTTCAAAACTGTTAACTTGATAAGGAAAGCATTACTTATTATTTCAAATACATTCTCTTAATAGGTTCTACACTACTTTTACAGAACCACATATTTAAAACTTATGGACACAGTTGTCATCATTTCTTGCTTCTTCTAGTGTTCATTACATGTTTCTTCTGATATTAACTAAATCCTTTTATGCGTGCTTGAACTCAGTGCCTATACTGCCCCTTACCTTTTTCACTCAAGCCTTCTTTACCGCTTGAACCACAGTTCCATTGGTCTCCTTTTGGTCACTTATTGGAAATAAGAGTCTTCATATACTTTCCTGCCCAGGCTGACGTGGAACCTCATCTCATGTTTACATTTCTAATAAATAAATGGCTTTGTAACTTACAATAACTTCTATAAATTAAATTTTAGTTGAAAATATAACAATGTATAGGTGAAAAATTCTTTTGTGCATGTTCTTTTGCTGAAGGCATGTTATTTAACAAAGTGTAAATAATTTCCAACTTCTTCACTATGGTAATCAAGATATAATCAAAAGACTCATCAGTTTCTATTGAGTTTGTCTATCTCTCTTATTTATTGAAGGAATTTCAAAATAGAGTTGACTTTATATTATTGAGTAAAATACTGATTGCTCATTGTATGATGTAAAATATTTGGTATAGTATGTAATTTCATTGATTTTGCATAACATTTATACCCCTTGCTAGTTTTTCTTATGATTTCAGAAAACTTGTAAAGGCTATTTCCCTTTAAATGAAAGAATGTAAACATGGTTGGATTGATGTGTTGAAGCGAGATTGGATAGATGGGAGACAAGGAAAAAGTAAATGGCATATAAAGAAAAAGTTCATGGATAAATAGATAGAAAAAAGGCAAGAATATGGGAATAAGAAAAATGTAGCCATATAAATTTTTACATCACTATAAAACTTTATTCATAAACAATGGACTGGAAATTGCCCTTGAGTCATGGTTTACTGATCTTCCTTTGTGGGGGCAGGAGGGGGGTGAAAGAAGGAAGGAGATGTATGTGTGGGTATGATATTGAGAATCAAAGGCCATATATTTTTATGAGTTTAGTAGCTTTTAAAATATTTTAGAAATATTAGGGATTTCATATCCATGAATGAAAATAAAATCATTGAGGTCATTAATATCATTTACATGTATAGAGGAAATAAAATATAATGGATACTCTATGTGCCCATATAAAACTAACAAAATGAAACCCATATTAAACATATACACTAGTAAAACTTTAAAGTAACACAAAAATTTAAATTTGAAAATCATAGAGTTGGAAAAATAGCATCTCTCTTGTCTATTTGGAACAAATTACTTTTTAATCCACTAAAGTAAAAGAAATGCAAGATGAACCCAAAGTTAATTTCATATATACCTTCAATGTTGGCTTTATAAAAATAAATACCTAAGACTCAAAACATAACAAAAGATCAGTAATGACATCTACAGTGAAAAGCAAAGCTACAAAATAGGAAATTTGGTAAGAACCAGAAAATGGAAGACATCCTGTGTTCAGAGTTTGACAGAATTAAAATTGTGAAAGTGGCTATATTTCCAAAAAGCACACTATAGATCTGATGTTATTCCACTGAAAAATACAGTGCACTTGTTTGAAGGAATACAAAAATTAATACTAAGACAAAAACCAATGGTGAACTCTAATAACCCTTGTTGAGAATCAGAACAGTCTTGTCTTAATCCAGACTGAAAATAAAAAGTTGATGGGATATTTTACATGAGCGGAGTGACAGATGTTTGTCATCTCAGCTCTATAAGATGTGGAGACTGAGGAAATTAAAAGTTCCAGTGCAATCCACACAGGTGGATGTTAGTCACAACAGAGGTGCATACCTGTAACCACAGCTGAGATAGGAATGTATAAAAGGATTGACAAAAAATCTTCACAGCTAGGAAGTGAAAATTTATCACAAAATTACAGAGTGAGCTAGGTGTTGAGATCTGAGCATTGCAGTTCAAATCTAGCTGGGTTTTGAGATCTGAGCACTGCAGTTCAAATCTAGCCTAGACAGGAAAGGCCTTGAGCTTCTTATCTCTTAATAACTTCCAAAAAAGCTGGAAATGGAGCTATGGCTCAAAGTGGTAGGTTGCTAGCATTGAGCACAAAAGCTCAAGAACAGTGTGCAGGTCCTGAGTGCCCAGGAACAGCACCAAAAAAAAAAAAAAAAAAAAAAACGAAGAAGAAAAAACCGCCCCCAAAATACACTGTGTGACGTGGCATACTAATGCAATATATTAGAGAATTAGCAGAGGTGAGGAGTATGGGAATCTCAGGAACTTTTTATTTTCTGTTCAATTTTATGTAACTTGAATATGACCATGAAAACTCTTGTGCTTCCAAGAAAATATTTTCTAATGATTTTACCACTTGTCTCTAATTATTTGTAGTATTTAGTACATAAGATTTCATCCATTACTTTCAAGCACTTTAGTAGCATATATTAGTTGTCCTAGAAGGTATCATGTGAATATTTACATATGTGTGTGAATTTGTTCCAATGAGACTCACACCCTCTATAACACTCATCCATTTTCCCCCTTGTGAAAAAAATTTCAACAGGTTCCTTGGCTCGATTTTCCCTCACATGTATGAAGCACTTTGACCTTGGCCAGTCACATTCAGCATCAACATTCATCCTCCTCCCTCCATCTAGTACCTCCAAGTGACAGCTACACATTTACACTCATATCAGTCAATTGAATTGTACAATAACTGTGCAAAGATGTCTACCTGTGATAATGTTATTCATGGATATGTTGTACTTTTACTAGACTCACATGTTAGTGTCTTTCCTCATCTCCCCTACCCTCCTGCTTTCATAGAGTTATCCCATATCCATGCACATATATGATGTAGTTTGATATGATTCACCGTTTACAATTCTATTTTTCTCTGTTTTCCCCATATGTCCTTCAAAATGTCCAATGATTACAAGCAAGTTCTGTGTATGCACAGTATGTACTTATGTTTATGTTTAGGTCTAGCTATCCAATATTACCAAAACTTGTGTCCTTTGTGGTTCTGAGCTTGCTCCTCTCTGGAAATGAGGCTTTGTGGATCTATTCATTGTCCTTCAAATGACACAATTTCATTCTTCCTAGCAGTTAACTGTAAAATTATACATAAATAGACACATTAAAAGCTCCTTGTGCAGTTATGTAATGTAATAAAAAATAAGTGTAATAAATTCTTTGTTCCACTTCAAGTTTCATTAATTCTGGTGGAAAGAGAGAGTGACCTATTTTCCATCTTCTGCATGTATAGATCCAGTTTGTAGACTTTTATACAGTGATACATCCCAGTGTGTGTGTGTGTGGGGGGTCTTTTGTTAAATTCATTGTGAGGTCATCTGATTTATTGTGTTGCTCTTCATGTCTGAGTTTGGAAAGCACAATGCTGGCTTGCTGACTAGGGCTTTGTAGTATAATTTGAAGTCTAGTGTTGTAATAACTCCTGTATTATTCTTTTTGCTTAAAATCACTTTGGCTAGCCGGTGGCTCACACCTGTAATCCTAGCTGCTCAGGAAGCTGAGATCTGATGATTGCAGTTCATAAGCCAGCCGGGCAGAGTCTCTTATCTCCAATAAACCACTAGAAAACCGGAAGTGGTGCTGTGGCTCAAGTGTTAGAGCACTCACCTTGAGCTGAAGAAAGCAGGTACAGCGCACAAGCCAAGAGTTCAAGCCGCACACCGACCAAAAAAAAAAAAGATGACTTTGGCTTTGGTGGATCTTTTGTGCTCCTTTATGAGCTTTGGGCTTGAATTCTCTGTTTCGATGATGAATGACTAAGGGTTGCTTTGAATCTGTTTAACATTTTGAATGATACAGGTATATTCACAATACTCTTTTTCTCAATCTATGAACAACAGAGGTATTTTTCTTCTTATGTCTGCTACTTTCTTCAATCACTAATGGTTTTTTGGTAGATCTCTTTCAGTTCCTTGGTTATATTTATTCCTAGGTATTTAAGATACTTTCTGTTAGGTACATTCAGAATTTGATGGTTTCCCTGGCTTCTTCCTTAGTTTGGTGATTGCTGGTGTTTAGACTACTTTGCTGAATGGATTTAACTTATATTTGTAATTTTAAAAAATATCAGTTCTCCTTCCATTTTTGGGGAGTGACATTTTAATCTAGTAGGTGGCATTTGATAGATGTCACTCTAGAATTCAGTGTCTTAGACCCCATTTTCCAACATAGGATCTCAATGCAGTCTTCAATGAAAGTTTCAGAGGTCTGAGCCCTTGGCCCCCTAGACTCATACAGTTCAGCCTAAGCTTGTGGCTTTTCCTTCACCCAGGTCAACCATCAACTCAGTTTATTTTGCTCTTGGTCAACATTTTTCTCCACCCACAGCTAAGGGAAAGTTTAGAAATGTAGCTGGCCCCAATGTCCTGCCCACCTGAGGCCTCTCACCTTTGTTTCACTGACAGATTTTATGTATATGTGTTCATTGTTTCTCTGTTAATGTAAAATATTTCCATGGGTTTGTACTGAAGCTTGTTCATCCCTGGGAGTTCAGGGGATGCATCAACTGCCATGGTCATCCTATTTACCTTATTTGAAATGCACTCCAGAGCTATTGATTGATTCCAAGCTACTTTGTTTCCCACCCTCATTTCTTAGCTCTTCTGCTAGAAGTCATGTGTGATATAGGCTATGTTACTAGAGTGTTCCCACAATGAAGACTAAAAGGTAATATTTCTCCCTGACAATCCTGCTATGTTTCTTCTGCTGTGTATTTGGGGGCGGTTTGTTCTTCGTTTTTTTTTTTTTTTTTTTTTTTTGGTGCTGTTCCTGGGCACTCACGACCTGCACACTGTTCTTGAGCTTTTGTGCTCAATGCTAGCAACCTACCACTTTGAGCCATAGCTCCATTTCCAGCTTTTTTGGAAGTTATTAAGAGATAAGAAGCTCAAGGCCTTTCCTGTCTAGGCTAGATTTGAACTGCAGTGCTCAGATCTCAAAACCCAGCTAGATTTGAACTGCAATGCTCAGATCTCAACACCTAGCTCACTCTGTAATTTTGTGATAAATTTTCACTTCCTAGCTGTGAAGATTTTTTGTCAATCCTTTTATACATTCCTATCTCAGCTGTGGTTACAGGTATGCACCTCTGTTGTGACTAACATCCACCTGTGTGGATTGCACTGGAACTTTTAATTTCCTCAGTCTCCACATCTTATAGAGCTGAGATGACAAACATCTGTCACTCCGCTCATGTAAAATATCCCATCAACTTTTTATTTTCAGTCTGGATTAAGACAAGACTGTTCTGATTCTCAACAAGGGTTATTAGAGTTCACCATTGGTTTTTGTCTTAGTATTAATTTTTGTATTCCTTCAAACAAGTGCACTGTATTTTTCAGTGGAATAACATCAGATCTATAGTGTGCTTTTTGGAAATATAGCCACTTTCACAATTTTAATTCTGTCAAACTCTGAACACAGGATGTCTTCCATTTTCTGGTTCTTACCAAATTTCCTATTTTGTAGCTTTGCTTTTCACTGTAGATGTCATTACTGATCTTTTGTTATGTTTTGAGTCTTAGGTATTTATTTTTATAAAGCCAACATTGAAGGTATATATGAAATTAACTTTGGGTTCATCTTGCATTTCTTTTACTTTAGTGGATTAAAAAGTAATTTGTTCCAAATAGACAAGAGAGATGCTATTTTTCCAACTCTATGATTTTCAAATTTAAATTTTTGTGTTACTTTAAAGTTTTACTAGTGTATATGTTTAATATGGGTTTCATTTTGTTAGTTTTATATGGGCACATAGAGTATCCATTATATTTTATTTCCTCTATACATGTAAATGATATTAATGACCTCAATGATTTTATTTTCATTCATGGATATGAAATCCCTAATATTTCTAAAATATTTTAAAAGCTACTAAACTCATAAAAATATATGGCCTTTGATTCTCAATATCATACCCACACATACATCTCCTTCCTTCTTTCACCCCCCTCCTGCCCCCACAAAGGAAGATCAGTAAACCATGACTCAAGGGCAATTTCCAGTCCATTGTTTATGAATAAAGTTTTATAGTGATGTAAAAATTTATATGGCTACATTTTTCTTATTCCCATATTCTTGCCTTTTTTCTATCTATTTATCCATGAACTTTTTCTTTATATGCCATTTACTTTTTCCTTGTCTCCCATCTATCCAATCTCGCTTCAACACATCAATCCAACCATGTTTACATTCTTTCATTTAAAGGGAAATAGCCTTTACAAGTTTTCTGAAATCATAAGAAAAACTAGCAAGGGGTATAAATGTTATGCAAAATCAATGAAATTACATACTATACCAAATATTTTACATCATACAATGAGCAATCAGTATTTTACTCAATAATATAAAGTCAACTCTATTTTGAAATTCCTTCAATAAATAAGAGAGATAGACAAACTCAATAGAAACTGATGAGTCTTTTGATTATATCTTGATTACCATAGTGAAGAAGTTGGAAATTATTTACACTTTGTTAAATAACATGCCTTCAGCAAAAGAACATGCACAAAAGAATTTTTCACCTATACATTGTTATATTTTCAACTAAAATTTAATTTATAGAAGTTATTGTAAGTTACAAAGCCATTTATTTATTAGAAATGTAAACATGAGATGAGGTTCCACGTCAGCCTGGGCAGGAAAGTATATGAAGACTCTTATTTCCAATAAGTGACCAAAAGGAGACCAATGGAACTGTGGTTCAAGCGGTAAAGAAGGCTTGAGTGAAAAAGGTAAGGGGCAGTATAGGCACTGAGTTCAAGCACGCATAAAAGGATTTAGTTAATATCAGAAGAAACATGTAATGAACACTAGAAGAAGCAAGAAATGATGACAACTGTGTCCATAAGTTTTAAATATGTGGTTCTGTAAAAGTAGTGTAGAACCTATTAAGAGAATGTATTTGAAATAATAAGTAATGCTTTCCTTATCAAGTTAACAGTTTTGAAATGTGACAAATGAAAATGTTCAAGTTAAGAGATTTTCAGAAGTGATCACAATATAAGAAATAATCTTATCTATATACTTAATATTTAAAATTCTTTGTTTCAAATTAATAAAGAGTGATTAGTCAATGATAAAATAAAAAGTATATCCATGTTTCAAGGGGGATACCATTATGCATTACAGACTTTAATCAGGAGAAAATTCAAAAAAATCCTATACATTGTATTCTTAAATCAAAGTGTATTTTCTGTAACATATACAAGTCATTCCTACGTTAAATGAGGAAAGCAGTGTGAAAGGGAGAGGAAGACAGAGAAGGAGATGGTGAGAGACAAAGAGAAAGAGAGATCGGGATAAAGAGAATGGTCCCACAAAAAAGACTCAGGATAATTTCAAAAGGAGAAGGTGTGAGTAGAAATAAACAAGTATTGAGCAAAACAATCTCCAACGATGATACTAAAAGATGTAAATTTGTGAAGAGGAAAGTATTAATGAAATGGATTTGAGGACTCTGCAACATGGTGTTGTGCAGACTGAAGTTAATATGCATAAAAATGAGAAAAGTTATTGAAAAAGACAATAGTGAAAAGACATTAAGAAGAGGGGATGATAGGATTAAGCACAGATTAAATCAGAGGAACTAAAAATATAGAAACTTAATTAGAGTTTAAATGGTGATCATCATCACTTGTGACAACCACTACAAGGAAAATGCACAATAAATTTTCCATAATATAAACTACTATAAGAAGAGATAATTGCTGTAGATTTAGAGCAGACCTTCTATATACTAATCAAACCTCTGAGTTTAATCATAAGCATGCATATTTCTCCTACAATGCCTTTTATCTCTGAAACCATGTAGAGAATTTTTATTTGGCATTAAGAAGATGATGTAGCACTTTGGGGCAAAAATGCAGCCAAGGAGCCCTGCCCCAGACGCCAAGATGGAGAAGACCTCCACAGCCACCATGACCTTCCCCTTGGCACTGTGGTAGACAGGCAGGAAGGTGAGCCACACACTGCAGAACACCAGCATGCTGAAGGTGAGGAACTTGGCTTCATTGAAGGTGTCAGGCAGGTTTCTGGCCAGAAAAGCTACAGTGAAACTGGCCAGGGCCAGGGAGCTCAGGTATCCCAGGACACAGTAAAAGGCAGTGAGGGAGCCCTTGTTGCACAGAATGATGATGTGACCATGTTCAGTGTGTGCATCTGTGTCAATAAAGGGAGGAGAGGTTCCCATCCAGAGTGCACAAAGCATCACCTGGATGAGGGTGCAGATGGGAATGATGAAGTTAGGAGCCCCAGATACCAGCAGCCACCTCATCATTCTCCCTGGGGAAGTGGCTTTAAAGGCCAAAACCACAGTCACAGTTTTGGCCAACACTGTGGAAACAGCCACAGTAAACAAAATTCCAAATGTCATCTGCTGTAGGATACAGGTGACTGGGTTGGGATGGCCAAGAAAGAGCAAGGAACAGAGGAAACAGAAAATGAGGGAGATGAGCAAGATGTAGCTGAGAGTCCGGTTATTGGCCTTGACAATGGCACTGTCTTTGTGTTTCACAAACACTCCAAGAACAACAACAGTTAGTATAGAGAAGCAAAGAGCCATGCATGCCAGAGCTATGCCCAAGGGATCTTCAAAAGCCAGGAAACTTGCAGTTTTCAGGAGGCACTGGTTTCTCTGTGTGTTGGCATACTGATGATCTGGACACTTCACACAATGCTCCATATCTGGTGAGAAGTGTAAACTACCATTAGTTCTTGTTGTGAACTTCTTTTTCTTCAAAGAATTTAGGAAATTGTTCACTTGGGTGGTATTCCTAAGATGTCAGCATTTACTATTATAAAAAATTATTATTTTTTCAACCATAACCACTTCCTATTTCCATCTTTTTCTTTATGCAAGCATTTTATTCAACTTTTTTCTTCATTGATTTTTACAGGTATTGGTAATGTAAGAGTTGGATTATTGTAATATTTGAAGTAAAATTTTCAACATTTTTCTCCCTCTCATTAAATTGTGCAATCGTATTAAAATTGTAGTATACAGATTAGGATTTACTACATGTTTCTATAAAACATTAATTTTACCCTATGGCATCTTATCCTTGAATTTATTTCATTATGTTTGTCTCGCTTACTCACCTGTGAAACTGCACAGTGTCCACTCTTGGACACTCGATGGTCATGCTCACTTCCTAAAGTGAAGCCAGCTTTCTGAGCCCTTGTCCTGTGCTAAGAAGAGTTCTGGGCACTGAGAAATGATATGCAAGATACATCTTTTTGTGTGGGTTAAGATGAACACCATCATTAATAACTCTTATGTTTAATTTCATGTTAGAATGTATACTTGTCCTAATGATTAGTGATAAGAAGGATTCTTGGAGGTAATTTTATTGCAATAGATAAGAAAATATTACCACATGTTGAATTCAAAGCCATGATCTACTATATTACAATTAACAATGCAAACATTTGTCAAAATTAATTTATTAATAGAGAAAAGGAAGAGGGGCTCTGTAATCCAAACATTCAACTTTTGCATGGATTTGTTTGGGTTGAGGACAACTAGGGTAGGAAGAAGAATTTCTTAACAAGTCAAAGAATTACCTGTGCCATTAGCAATCTCATTCTCTGGGCAAGGGGTACAATCAAAGCAACAGGTAGCCTTTTCCTCCTGAGGAGATTTCCTGAATCCAGGACCACAACTCTCACTGCAGATAGAGTAAGGAGTCTGAGGAAAATCATGGATGTGTCAGTAACTGTTCAGATGTCTACCTAACCCTTCACAAAACCCATTGTTTTAATAAATGGATTACTAAAGAAAAGGTTTCTATGCAGGTATGGGCAATCAACTAATTGAATTCTGTTGTAGAGTTCATATTCCATATTCATAAAGGCTTATGTGTTACAACCTTGACTTCTAGTCTGTTGAATTATTGCAAATTATGGAATCTTTAAAAGGTGGAAGCAGTAGTAAAAAATAAAAAGTAATTGCTAGTGTACAGCCCTATGGAATTCCCTTGAGATCATGTCATATCTTGCCTCGTATTCATCTGAGATATGGAGAAGAAAAAAAGGAAGACAGCCTTTATATAGTGTTGTGTGAACCTCAGGCCTATGGTATCTTCATCTTCATTTTCCAGTGGTCATGAGGTGGTAATATTCTCACAGGTGTCTTCAAGGACTCCTTTCTCCAAAGATGGTTAAGTAGCATGCCAATTAACCATTGAATCAATCTCCATAGAAGGGAGCAAAAGAAACCTTTCAATCCTGTAAAGCAACTCAGCAGGTACTTTATCACAGTGTTAGAAACCCACTGAGAAAAATATAATTTATATCTTATGACAATATTCTAATTCAACATTTATAAACATATTTAATTGTTTTAGTGTTGATCTTTGGGTTATAACTCAAGATCTGGGAACCAGATTTGAGCTTCTTTGCTCAAGTTTAGCACTCTAGTACTGGAAACATAGCTAACTTTCAGACTGTTAATGGTTAAATGAGTTAACAGTCTCACTGATTTTCCTGTTTGGGCTGACTTTAAACCATGGTATTCAGATCTCCACTATCTGAGTAGCTACGATTATGGGAGAAAGTTGGTGATCCTCAGTCATGTATACATTTAAAGAGAGACTTTTGCTGATTGGTGTGTCCTTAAAAATTATTAGGGATAGATCCAACCTACCTCTGTAGTTCCTATGGCCCACTCTACCATATCTTCAGATAAAGACAGTTGATTGCCATGTAGAGCATATGGAGAAAACTTTCCTATTTTCACTGCAAGTTCAAGACCTTCTGGAAAGTTCCAAATATTCAGAATGTCATACTCTGGCTCCAATTTCCTTTTCTCATCCCAAATAATGTGATTTTCAGCAGGATTGTAAAACTGGTTGTTGTTCAGGAAAAGGTGCAGCTAAAAGAGAGACATCTTATGGTGAAGTATATCCCAGAGTTAAGAGAGAAACCATGAAGTAAGAAAGATCTTGATTGTTTTTGTTCTCAGGTTTTGAAAACAACAATAGAAGAGACACTACTGAAGCATCCCAGAAGAAAATCTTTGGAAGATTAGAAATAACCTTTCTGGAAAATAATGTATTCTTTTTTTATTGTGAAAATACTGTACAGAGGGGTTACAATTACATGGGCAAAGTAATGAGTACATTTGTTATCAAGCATTGTTGCCTCCTCCATTGTTTCCCCTTCCCATCTCCCCTGCCCCTGGCCCCACCCACTCATCCCCCTCCTCCTTGCCAAAGTTGTAAAGTTCGTCCTTCACATAACATCTTTCACATCTCATTGTTACAGTGGGTCCACATGTATCCCTATTTATACAACTTTTTTTTCCTTCCCCTCCACAAAATATACCAACATTAATACAGTGAAAACAGGGGTTTTACCGTGGGGAAGGGACATATGAAGCAACAAAGAAATCAACTTATAAATGTTAGAAACAATTATAAGAAATAAAAAAAACATTTGAATGCTCTCTTGGGGTTCATTTCACCTAACATCAACTTATCTGACCTTTTCTGCTTGACTCAGACATATTAGTTATTGCAAATAAGAGAAACCATGGGACCTATGTTTCCTTGCACCTGGCTTACTTCACTTAATATAATTTTTTACAAGTCTTTCCATTTCCTAACAAATGGGGCAATGTCATTCTTTCTGAGGGAGGCATAGAATTCCATTGTGTATATATACCACATTTTCTGGATCCATTCACCTACTGAGGGGCATCTGGGTTGGTTCCATATCTTAGCTATGGTAAATAATGCTGCGATAAACATAATTGTGCTGGTAGCTTTAGTATGGTCTTGTTTGTGGTCATATGGGTAAATACCCAAAAGTGGGATTGCTGAGTCATAGGAGAGCACTATGTGGAGTCTTTTGAGAAACCTGAATACTATTTTCCAACGTGGTTGAACAAGATTACACTCCCATCAACAATGCAATAGAGTTCCTTTCTGTCCACATCTCCTCCAGAACCTGTTTTTATTTGAGTTCTAGATTATAGCCATTCTAACTGAAGTGAAGTGGTATCTCAATGTTGTTTTGATTTGCTTTTCTTTTATAGCTAAGGATGTTGAGTATTTCTTCAGGAAATGCTATGTCTATCAGGAAAGCAACTTCATTCGTAATAGTCCCACAAAAAATAAAATACTTAGGATTTAACCAAAAAGTGAATGACCTCTATGATGAAAACTTTAAAATCCTGAAAATGGAAATCAAAACAGAACTTAGAAACTGGAAAACCCTCCCATGCTCCTGGATTGGTAGGATCAATATCGTGAAAATGGCAATACTTCTCAAGGCTATCTACAAATTCATTGTGATACCTATCAATATTCCAACCTCATTCTTCAAGAAAATAGAAGAGCCAATCCAAAAATATATATGGAACAATAAAAGACCCCAAATAGCAAAAACGATCCTCAACAGAAAGAACAGTGCTGGAGGAATATCAATACCAAATTTCAAAATCTACTACAAAGCCATAGTAATCAAAACAGCTTGGTTCTGGCACATGAACAGACCTCAGGACCAATGGAATTGAATTGAAATTCCAGAAATGAACCTACAGACCTATAGCCATCTAATCTTTGATAAAGGAGCTAAAAAAAAAATAGAATGGAAGAAAGACAGCCTCTTCAGTAAATGGTGCTGGTAGAATTGGTTAACTACTTGTAGAAAACTAAAGCTAGATCCTTATATATCACCCTGCACCAGAATCAACTACAAATGGATTAAAGACCTGGGCATCAAAGCAGACACTCTGAAAACACTACAGGATGCAAAAGGAGAAGCCCTAGGTCTCCTTGGCAAAGGCCAAAATTTTCTTAAAAGAGACCCAGAAACACAACAAATCAAAGAAAGGTTGGACAAATGGGATTGAATGAAATTGCAGAGGTTCTGCATGGCAAAGGACATAGCTACAACAGACAAGGGTCTTAATCTAAAATATACCTGGAACTCAAAAAAATTAAATCCTCAATAAGAAATTCTCAAAGAAACAACTGCACAATAAATAAGTGGGCTAAAGACTTAAAGAGAAACTTCTCTGCAGAGAAATAAAGTATTCTTTTCACTCAAAATAGGAGTAGATGGAAGTTTTTTCAAGAGAAACCATTTTTCTACAGCTTTCCACAACCACTATTTTTATGAATGTCTACATTTTGACTTTGTAATTTTTTTGTGTTTTTCTGGAGTGAGGTGGAATCTCAGTTTTGTTTTCATTTGCATTTCTTTTGTGTCCAGAGATGTTCATCACTTCTTCATGTGTCCATTGGCTATTTTAATTTCTTCTCCAGAGGAGTCTCTGTTTAAGTCTTTATCCCACTTGGTGGTAGGTTGTTTTTGTTTTCTGTGAATTCAATGATTTTCTTATTTACAACTTGCATTATTATAGCAAAAATATAACTGCACTGTTTTACATTCTGAAATTGGGGCTGACTTGAAATCTTGCATCAATTCTATAAATACAATAGTTTTTGTTTAAATGCTGTTGATTTCCAGATTTGTACATTGTATCTTGCATAATCCCCACAAACTAGACCATAAAACTAAAAACTTCTCTTGATGTCCTTTTTCAACATTTTCATTATTATCTTTAAGTAGTTGTACAAAGAATTTCTGATTCTACAAAACTGTATCTGAACGCAAAGTGCCTGACAACATTGTCACCCATCGCTCCTAACCCAAGCCTTCTCTCACTTTTTTTTCTTTTCTTTTTTTTAAATTGAGATTAGGTGATTACATAAATTTCACATATTTCACAGTATTGTGGAATAGTGATACTTGGTTAAAATCACAAACACATTTGAACCTTCACAAGGCAAATTGTCATTATCTTTGTCTATAAAGTTTGTGAATTCTATGAGCTTTGAAAATACAATTACTTTTTCCATATCAGATGATGTTTACATTTATTTCCTTTTGCTTAATGTAAGCTGTTCCCTCTTTCCCTCACATTCCTCCCTTCCCATCTCTGTCTTTGGGTTGCTTATTTCTTTTTCTTCTATGTTCAGTGCAGCTGATGGGCCCCTTTGTTGAATGTTCTTCTGTTTCCCACTTATTCTGCATCCTCTTCCTAGATTCCCTCCATTGTGTGCATATATATATATATATATATATACATATATATATATATATATATATATATATATATATGCTCAAGAACATGGAGTCATTTAGCAATGATAGACAAAATGGATCGTTGTCTTTTGTTTCTTGAGTCCTATTTACTTTGTCATATCTCCTTGCATTTTGGCTTTAGCATCCACATTTTAAAATCTATGAAGAAATAAAAATAATCTTTCTGGAATTCTTCTCACAGAAGAGCATTTTTTTCCAAGAAAAAAACATTTTGCGACAGTTTGTCACAACCATTATTTTTATGAATGTCTATATTTTGACTTACCAAATTTTAAAACCAAAAGTTCAATGAAACTAAGTCACTTATGAAAAATATGGACAATTCTGTTCAGCAGATCATCCTTGCAATGACTGAAGAAACTTGTACAGAAAAAATGAATTTACAAATTTTAACATACTAGCTAGGAACCTATTGAAATTATTGGTAATTAAATGACTTCATAAGCAAAGTGATGGTGACTCATGAATGTATCACTATCTACTCAGGAGACCCAGATTAGAGGATCATGCTTCAAAGCCAGCCTGGGAAGAAAAATCCCTGAGAGCCCTTTCTCCAATAAACTATTCAGAAAAAGTCAGTAGTGCTGTGCTCAAGAGGTTGAGCAAAAGCCTTGAGCCCAAAGGACTCAGGGTCATAGCCCAGGCACTGGGCTGGCAAAAATATTATAGAAACATGGAATATATTGTAGACTTCTTACTGGCCCATTGTTTTCTTTAGAGAATGGGCACACATATCTAGAGTATCTCACAGACATTGAAACATAAAGTATTACATAGGGTTTTGAAGAACACAGAATATTTAGTTTTTAAATATTAATCTATGTTTATCCAATTTTGTACTTACTATAGTTTTTGTTAATACAAAGAAAAACCTTCACCTTTGAGACAATTACTTCAAAACCTGAAATATGTGTTCATTAATTTCAGAAACCAAGATATGAATGACCTATGAATAAAAACACTTATATAAATGTCTGTATATATATGTACAAAAATGCATGCATAGATTTGGAAATTTTGAAATTTTTGCAATAAGAAACACCTCTAGGAAGAACCTTTGTTCATGGTGTGTGCCCTCCAAAAAAGGAGAAATTACCTGTGCAGGGGAAGGCAGTGCTCCTTTGCTATTTCCCATCATATGAACTTCTGTTTGATGAAGAAGCATCTCATGGAGAGCCTGGGCCACAGCATACACAGCATTGTATATATTGTAACTGTGTCCAGACATAGTCATGTCAAAAATATGCCCAGGCAACCATTTCAAAGAGGCTTCATGAGCACAGTTGTCCCATGTTACACAGTCAGACTCAGCATGTGAGCAATTAAAAGTCAGAAACCACAACCAAGCAAGAAAAAAGTCTTCTGGGTATTTGGAAGGATTAACTGCCTTGACAAAATCTATGAAACCAGAAACATCCTCATGATGGTGTATAAAAATAAGAGGCACATGCAATGAGCCTAGCATGAAATATCTCGTTTTCATGGTGAAATCCCACTCTGAATTCATGACACAAACTTTTCCTTGTATTAAAATTCGTTCAAGACTCATTATTATAAATATTAGTGAATCTTTATCACCATATATGATGAGGACACTTGCTGAAGCCTTATTTATCTCATTGTAAACTGCCATGACTTTGAATATATGTGACATGGATTGGCTTGAGATCACAACCTCATAGGCTAAACAAAGTCTGTTTTTGGCCATCTCTTCTTTCAATTCAGCCAGAAACCATGAACCATTCTCATCCTGTGAGGTCAACAGTCCCACCCAGCTCCAGCTGAAGTGAAGCAGTAAGGAGACCATGGCCGTGGTTATTGATGTGTCCTGTGGGACCATCTGATAGAGAGCAGGAAACTTGTTATGGTCACTCAGGGCATGATCAAAAGGCCCAAAGGTAAACTAAAGGGAAAGAAAATTGGATTCTTCTTGAATGAGGAGGTTGCCATGCAACACAATCTCAGTCTTTAAGTATGTTAAGAACCAGTTGAAGTAGGTAGAAGATACATTTTTTGTAGTTTTTTTGAAAGTATCATTTAATTATTCTTTATATATCTGTTGATCTTGTCCAATATCTCTATCAACATTTTCCATCTAGACCAACCCCAACCACTCCTTGACTTTCGTAATTCCATTTCCACATGTGTACATTGAATATTAAGTTATTTATCCCACCTATCCATTCTTTATTCATCTGCCTTTTTTCCCTTAACATCTATTCTAGTCAGACAAGTGTAATTCAGTTCTCTGGTGTTCTTTATTTATACGGTTAGTAGATCAGAAAAGTTAAATCATTGTGTTCCATTCCTACATGCACCATATTTTAGTCAGATTGGTCATGTGTGTATGTAAATGGCTATGTGCATGTTTCATATTTATTTCACATTACATGTTCATATTTTAGATTTAACTTTCACATATGAGAGAACACATTTATCCTTTCTTTTTCTGATGCTTTCTTCATTCAACATATATATTCCCCTGTGTGTGTGTGTGTGTGTGTGTGTGTGTGTGTGTGTGTGTGTGTGTGTGTGTGTATTTATGTGCATGCCAGTACAGGGATACAAATTCATGGCCTCTTAAACTTCCTTGGCTTTTTTCCCTCTAGACTGGTGCCCTACCATTTGAGTCACACATCAACTTTGTGTTCTTTGTTGGGTAATTGGAGATATAAGTATTCTGAGTAGCCTGGATTACAGGTGTGAGCCATCAATACCCTGCTCAACATATCTGCACACTGCAAAGTCATTTTCCATTTCTTAATTTAAAAAAGAAAATTATTAATATAGCTTGGAATGATAAATTAGCATTTATCTGTTTAAACTCTTCCATCTACTTTTTCAATCATTGGACTATATATATGCATATATATGTGTGTATATATATATAACTCACTTGAGCACTTACTCTTTAATATCAAAAATTTGATAGTTTTATAAATCAAGTCTCTTTCATTCTCTTTTAACACCTGAAATGGCACCAAATTATACATTTTATATCCTTCCACACCTCCCACCCTCACCTGTGGAAATCTGTAGAGTCCCAGCAATGTCCCAATCTGGTCAGATGTTATTCCTGATGGTCCTGTAAGTACTGCTATAGACCTCCTGTCTCTCATACAAGAGTAGTTTGGAATCTTGTATTCCCCAAAGAGCCAAATGAAGGGATTCTTAAAAATTGTCCAAGCTCTGAATTCAACATCATAGATATCAACTCCCAGGGTCAAGTTATATAAAAGATAAGGATTCTTGTTGATTTCCTCAATAGCAAAAACCAAAGCCAAAACAAACTGATAGTTCTTGAAGATCCTACATAATGAGCATAGAAATTGAGGAGGAGTATTTCAAAACTTATGATTTTGCTGGATTGAATGCTTGTTTCTTTGCTAATGAACCTCAAGTAGGAAGGAATGTGAACATGTAGTGTCTTATGCTTGTATATTGAACTAGGTAAGGACATGAAGGGAATTTGTCATGAAAGAGATTCAGAAACTTATTTAACATGAGAGAGATAGAGTGAGAGAAAGAGCACTTTCCCCTCCTTACTAACACATGGACCACTGGAAAAAGCAGTTGTCCATTTTATTATGTTTTCATGAGACAGCAAATATTCTTTTGCCTTTATCTTAGAGCAACTAGGTCCATCTGTGTGAAAAATAAGTTTAGTTAAGTTGTCTAGTTTATGTTATGTGTTTATGTAGCAGGCCAGTCTAATTAAGAAATGTTCAATTTAAGAGCAACTTTCAGAAACAAAGTGTTACATATGAAAGATTCTATAGCAATCTCTGCTCACAGACCCAACATATTGAACAGCTCTTCCTGCAATATCAACCAGAGCAAAAGCTCAAATATGAAGTGAGGGGAGTTTATTTTTATTTATGTACCAAAACAAAAGGGATGCATCCAACTCCAATAAAATCATTATGGTGAGGGGAACCTCAGCTACAGTGGATGAGGAGAGAATTGCAAGGAAGGTTTACATTGAAATCTCAGTTCCAAGACCACCTTGGAAAAATGCAGTGATGACTACTCTCTTGCCAATATATTTAGATTGAGATACTGAAAAGAAACTACAATGAAAGAAAGAGCATCAAAGGAATCTTTCTCATTGTCCTGTTGCGTGTGTGCATATTCTAAAGAAATTGATATAATGAAATCAACTGGTATTGTTTTAAAAGGAAACAATGGAGGTATGATGGAAACACAAATGAACGGATTAACTTGTTCAACACATACTGTAAGTATATGTGAAACAATCATAATGGAAGCCTATCATGTGAGTAAGATCTTCTAAACAGAATATAGGCAGTAAGTTACCTAAACATGAAAGGATAATCAAATTTCTGATCTGATCTAAAATCTACACCAAGCCATCTTATGATCAAGCTGTCACAAGTGAAATATTAATCAGGGTAGGTTCTTAAGACTAGAACAGAATTTGGAGCCATATCACATAGCTCTGTCCCTGCTTCTCAAACTGCTGACTCCTCAGTACAATGTATAAGAGCCAGGAGAACACTTTAGTATTACGTGTTTTACAGTATTGACAGAATTCTCAGTATTGGTGATAAAAAATACTGAATTCATCCATCAGGAATAGTTTATGAAGAATATATCCCTTTTAGTACTGAAGGAAGGATAAAGATGTTCCCAGAAAAGCACAGTTAAAGAATGTAACTCTAGCAAACATTTCCTACAAAAACCATAAAAGTCAAAATTTCAATAAAAAAGACAGAACCATTAATGAGCAAGGAAAAGATCTAAGGATATATAGCATGTATCCTGTCAATACAATAAAAGTAGAATTCAACAGGAAAACCCATCACAGACAATACTTAAACATGGAAAGTGAACAATTCATTACTGAGTAAGCAGTAGGTCTTCAAAGAGTTAAGAAAACTGCCGTTTTCTCCAACTTCTTGATCTAGGTATTCAGAGCTATAATTTTCCTCTGACTACTATCTTTCTTTTGTTCCAGAGAAAACTCCAAACCCCAGCTTGTCAGAAACAGACAACAAAGTAGACAGAATAAAACAAAATAAACAGAAAATAAACAATAAAACAGAAACAGGTAAAACCGGGCACCGATGACTCTCACCTGTAATCCTAGCTACTCAAGAGGCTGAGGTCTGAAGATCACGGTTCAAAGCCAACCTGGGCAGGAGAGTCCATGAGACTCTTATCTCCAATAAACCACTAGAAAACCAAAAATGGAGACAGACCCTTAGCAAATCCTTTCAGAAAAAGAAGAGAACACACCCAAATTAATAAACTCAGAGATGAGAATGGAAACATCACCACAGAAACAACCAAGATTCAGAACATTATAAGGGAATACTTCTCAAAACTTTATGCTAATAAGTTTGAGAACTTGACAGAAATGGACCTCTTCCTAGCAAATATTGACATGCCAAAACTAAACCAAGATGAGTTAAACTATCTTAACAGGCCCATATCAAGCATTGAAATAGAAACAGCAATAAGAGACCTCCCAGCTAAGAAAAGTCCAGGACCAGATGGTTTTACAGCGGAATTTTACAAGGCCTTCAAAGCAGAGCTCACACCAATTCTCCTCCAACTCTTCAATGAAATTGAAAGAGAAAGCTCACTACCGAACACATTCTATGAAGCCATCATAACCCTCATCCCAAAACCAGGCAGGGACTCATCAAAGAAAGAGAACTATAGACCCATTTCTTTGATGAACATTGATGCGAAACTTCTCAACAAAATTTTGGCCAACGCCTTCAACAATTCATCCAAAAAATCATACACCACGATCAAACAGGATTCATTTCAGGGATGCAAACCTGGTTCAATATACGCAAATCAATTAATATTATTCATCACATCAACAGGAGCAAGAATAAGAACCACATGGTTATCTCAATAGACGCAGAAAAAGCGTTCGACAAGATCCAACACCCCTTCCTGATGAAGGTTTTGGAAAAATTAGGAATCCATGGAACATTCCTCAATACAATAAAGGCTGTATATGACAAACCTACAGCCAGCATTATACTTAATGGTCAAAAAATAAAGCCATTTCCTCTTAACTCAGGAACAAGACAAGGATGACCACTCTCTCCACTTCTCTTCAATCTAGTATTAGAATGCCTAGCTACAGCAATAAGACAAGATGCAGACATAAAGGGGATCCAAATAGGGAAAGAAGAAATAAAACTCTCCCTCTTTGCAGATGACATGATCTTGTATTTAAAGAATCCCATAGACTCCACTCCCAAATTACTCAAGCTGATTCAAAACTTTGGCAAAGTAGCAGGTTATAAAATTAACCCCCAAAAATCAATGGCTTTTCTGTATGTCAACAATGAGAAAAGTGTGGCTGAAATTAGGAAAGCAACTCCATTTGTAATAGCCCCAGAAAAAATAAAATACCTAAGAATTAACTTAACCAAAGAAGTGAAGGACCTCTATGATGAAAACTTTAAAAAGGAAATTAAAACAGAACTTAGAAAATGGCAAAACCTCCCATTCTCCTGGATTGGAAAGATTAACATCATGAAAATGGCAATACTTCCCCAGGCTATCTACAAATTCAATGCAAAACCTATCAAAATTCTAACCTCATTCTTTCAAAGAAATAGAAGAGGCAATCCAAAAATTCATATGGAACAATAAAAGACCCCAAATAGCAAAACGCTCCTCAATGGAAAGAACACTGCTGGAGGGATATCAATACCAAATTTCAAACTCTACTATAAAGCCATAGTAATCAAAACAGTTTAATTTTGGCATAAGAACAGACCTCAGGACCAATGAATGGAATTGAAAACCCAGAAATGAACCTACAGACCTATAGCCATCTAATCTTCGATAAGGGAGCTAAAACAATAGAATGGAAGAAAGACAGCCTCTTCAGTAAATGGTGCTGGAAAAATTGGTTAACTACTTGTAGAAAACTAAAGCTAGATCCTTATATATCACCCTGCTCCAGAATCAACTCCAAATGGATCAAAGACCTCGAAGTCAAAGCAGATACTCTGAAAACATTACAGGATGGAATAGGAGAAACCCTGGGTCTCCTTGGCTCAGGCCGAAATTTTTTGAATAGAGACTCGGAAACACAACAAATCAAAGAAAGGTTGGACAAATGGGATTTCATGAAGTTGCAGAGCTTCTGCATGGCAAAGGACATAGCTAGCAAGATCAATAGAAAGCCCACGGATTGGGAGAAGATCTTTACTAGCCATACAACAGAAAAGGTTCTCATAACTAAAATATACTTGGAACTCAAAAAATTAAATCCCCCAACAACAAATCCTCAAAGAAACAACTGCCCAATAAATAAGTGGGCTAAAGACTTAAAGAGAAACTTCTCTGAAGAAGAAAGAAGGATGGCCAATAGATACATGAAGAAATGCTCAACATCCCTAGCCATAAAAGAAATGCAAATCATAACAACATTGAGATACCACCTCACTCAAGTTAGAATGGCAAAAATCAAGAACTCTAACAAGAACAGATGCTGGAGGGGATGTGGACAGAAAGGAACCTTACTTCATTGTTGGTGGGAGTGTAAACTTGTTCAACCACTTTGGAAAGCAGTATGGAGGTTCCTGAAAAGACTTCACATAGAGCTCCCCTATGACCCAGCAATCCCACTTTTGGGCATTTACCCAAATGTTTACAAACAAGATCACACTAAAGTTACCAGCACAACTATGTTTATTGCAGCATTATTTACCATAGCTAAGATATGGAACCAGCCCAGATGCCCCTCAGTAGATGAATGGATCAAGAACATGTGGTATATATACATAACAGAATTCTATGCCTCCATCAGGAAGAATGACATTGCCCCATTTGTTAGGAAGTGGAAAAACTTGGAAAAAATTATATTAAGTGAAGTAAGCCAGGCCCAAAGAAACATAGGTCCCATGGTTTCCCTTATTTGCAATATCTAGTATACATTTGAGTCAAGCGGAAAAGATCAGATAATGTGATGTTAGGAAAATGAACCCTTAGATATGTATTTTAATGTGTTTTTCCTTTCATGAATTTGTTTCTAATGCATTTGTAAGATTATCTCTTTGTAGCTTTATATGTCTCTCCCCCACATTATAATCCCTGCTTTCACTATATTTGATGTCAGTATAACTTGTAGAGGAGAGGGGGAAAAACAAGTCGTTTAAGGATACAGGCGGACCTGTTGCAACAATGAGAAGTACAAGTTGTCATGTCGAAAACGAGCTTTACAATGTTGGTGCTGGAGGGGGGCGGGGAAGGTGGGGAGGATTGGGGGGGGAGGCTGGGAAGGGATGTGAAGGATAAAAAGGAGGAGGCTGCAATGCTTGATAAGAAATGTACGCATTAAGGATTCAGGTGGACCTGTTGCAACAATGAGAAGTACTAAATGTCATGTCAAAACCAGCTTTACAATGACGGAGGTGGGGGGGGAGGGGGTATGATTGGGTGGGGGGGAAGGGGGAGGGGGGGGAAGGGAGGTGAAGGGTAAACAAAGGAGGAGGCTGCAATTCTTGGTAAGAAATGTATGCATTATCCTGCCCATGTAATTGTAACCCCTCTGTACAGTATGTTCTCAAATAAAATAAAATAAAATTAAAAAAAAAAGAAATGTACGCATTAACCTGCCAATGTAATTGTAACCCCTCTGTACAGTGTGCTCACAAAAAAAAAAAAAAAAATGAAAAAAAAAAGCCAGCCTGGGAAGAAAAATCCCTGAGAGTCCTTTCTCCAATAAACTATTCAGAAAAAGCCAGTAGTGCTGTGCTCAAGAGGTTGAGCAAAAGCCTTGAGCCCAAAGGAATCAGGGTCATAGCCCAGGCACTGGGCTGGCAAAAATATTATAGAAACATGGAATATATTGTAGACTTCTTACTGGCCCGTTGTTTTCTTTAGAGAATGGGCACACATATCTAGAGTATCTCACAGACATTGAAACATAAAGTATTACATAGGGTTTTGAAGAACACAGAATATTTAGTTTTTAAATATTAATCTATGTTTATCCAATTTTGTACTTACTATAGTTTTTGTTAATACAAAGAAAAACCTTCACCTTTGAGACAATTACTTCAAAACCTGAAATATGTGTTCATTAATTTCAGAAACCAAGATATGAATGACCTATGAATAAAAACACTTATATAAATGTCTGCATATATATGTACAAAAATGCATGCATAGATTTAGAAATTTTGAAATTTTTGCAATAAGAAACACCTCTAGGAAGAACCTTTGTTCATGGTGTGTGCCCTCCAAAAAAGGAGAAATTACCTGTGCAGGGGAAGGCAGTGCTCCTTTGCTATTTCCCATCATTTGAATTTCTGTTTGATGAAGAAGCATCTCATGGAGAGCCTGGGCCACAGCATACACAGAATTGTATATATTGTAACTGTGTCCAGACATAGTCATGTCAAAAATGTGCCCAGGCAACCAATCCAAAGAGGCATCCTGAGCACAGTTGTCCCATGTTACACAGTCAGACTCAGCATGTGAGCAATTAAAAGTCAGAAACCACAACCAAGCAAGAAAAAAGTCTTCTGGGTATTTGGAAGGATTAATTGCCTTGACAAAATCTATGAATCCAGAAACATCCTCATGATGGTGTATAAAAATAAGAGGTACATGCAATGAGCCTAGCATGAAATATCTCGTTTTCATGGTGAAATCCCACTCTGAATTCATGACACAAACTTTTCCTTGTATTAAAATTCGTTCAAGACTCATTATTATAACTATTAGTGAATCTTTATCACCATATATGATGAGGACACTTGCTGAAGCCTTATTTATCTCATTGTAAACTGCCATGACTTTGAATATATGTGACATGGATTGGCTTGAGATCACAACCTCATAGGCTAAACAAAGTCTGTTTTTGGCCATCTCTTCTTTCAATTCAGCCAGAAACCATGAACCATTTTCATCCTGTGAAGTCAACAGTCCCACCCAGTTCCAGCTGAAGTGAAGCAGTAAGGAGACCATGGCCATGGTTATTGATGTGTCCTGTGGGGCCATCTGATAGAGAGCAGGAAACTTGTTATGGTCACTCAGGGCATGATCAAAAGGCCCAAAGGTAAACTAAAGGGAAAGAAAATTGGATTCTTCTTGAATGAGGAGATTGCCATGCAACACAATCTCAGTCTTTAAGTATGTTAAGAACCAGTTGAAGTAGGTAGAAGATAGATTTTTTTGTTTTTTTGAAAGTCATTTAATTATTCATAATATGTCTGTTGATCTATTCCAATATATCTATCAACACTTTCCATCTATGCCAACCTCAACCACTCCTTGACTTTCGTAATTCCATTTCCACATATGTACATTGAATATTAAATTATTTATCTCACCTATCCATTCTTTATTCATCTGTCTTTTTTCCCTTAACATCTATTCTAGTCAGACAAGTGTAATTCAGTTCTCTGGTTTCTTTATTTATACGGTTAGTAGATCAGAAAAGTTAAACCATTGTGCTCCATGTCTACATACACCATATTTTAGTCAGATTGATCATGTATGTATGTAAATGGCTATGTGCATGTTTAATATTTATTTCACATTACATGTTCATATTTTAGATTTAACTTTCACATATGAGAGAACACATTTATCCTTTCTTGTTCTGATGCTGACTTTCTTCATTCAACATATATATTCCCGTGTGTGTGTGTGTGTGTGTGTGTTTGTGTGTGTGTGTGTGTTTGTTTATGTGCATACCAGTACAGGGATACAAATTCATGGCCTCTTAAACTTTCTTGGCTTTTTTCCCTCTAGACTGTTGCCCTACCATTTGAGTCACACATCTACTTTGTGTTCTTTGTTGGTTAATTGGAGATATAAGTATTCTCAGTAGCCTGGATTACAGGTGTGGGCCATCAATACCCTGTTCAACATATCTGCACACTGCAAAGTCATTTTCCATTTCCTAATTTAATAAAGAAAATTAATAATATAGCTTGAAACAATAAATTAGCATTTATCTGTTTAAACTCTTCCATCTTCATTTTCAATCATTGGACTATACATATGCATATATATGCATATTATATATGTGTATATATATATATCTCACTTGAGTACTTACTCTTTAATAACTAAAATTTGATAGTTTTATAAATCAAGTCTCTTTCTTTCATTCTCTTTTAACACCTGAAATGGCACCAAATTAGACTTTCTATATCCTTCCACACCTCCCACCCTCACCTGTGGAAATCTGTAGAGTCCCAGCAATGTCCCAATCTGGTCAGATGTTATTCCTGATGGTCCTGTAAGTACTGCTATAGACCTCCTGTCTCTCATACAAGAGTAGTTTGGAATCTTGTATTCCCCAAAGAGCCAAATGAAGGGATTCTTAAAAATTGTCCAAGCTCTGAATTCAACATCATAGATATCAACTCCCAGGGTCAAGTTATATAAAAGATAAGGATTCTTGTTGATTTCCTCAATAGCAAAAACCAAAGCCAAAACAAACTGATAGTTCTTGAAGATCCTACATAATGAGCATAGAAATTGAGGAGGAATATTTCAAAACTTATGATTTTGCCGGATTGAATGCTTGTTTCTTTGCTAATGATCATATTATATCATTAACCTCAAGTAGGAAGGAATGTGAACATGTAGTATCTTATGCTTGTATATTGAACTAGGTAAGGACATGAAGGGAATTTGTCATGAAAGAGATTCAGAAACTTATTTAACATGAGAGAGATAGAGTGAGAGAAAGAGTGCTTTCCCCCCATACTAACACATGGACCACTGGAAAAAGCAGTTGTCCATTTTATTATGTTTTCATGAGACAGCAAATATTCTTTTGCTTTTATCTTAGAGCAACTAGGTCCATCTGTGTGAAAAATAAGTTTAGTTAAGTTGTCTAGTTTATGTTATGTGTTTATGTAGCAGGCCAGTCTAATTAAGAAATATTCAATTTAAGAGCAACTTTCAGAAACAAAGTGTTACGTATGAAAGATTCTATAGCAATCTCTGCTCACAGACCCAACATATTGAACAGCTCTTCCTGCAATATCAACCAGAACAAAAGCTCAAATATAAAGTGAGGGGAGTTTATTTTTATTTATGTACCAAAACAAAAGGGATGCATCCAACTCCAATAAAATCATTATGGTGAGGGGAACCTCAGCTACAGTGGATGAGGAGAGAATTGCAAGGAAGGTTTACATTGAAATCTCAGTTCCAAGACCACCTTGGAAAAATGCAGTGATGACTACTCTCTTGCCAATATATTTAGATTGAGATACTGAAAAGAAACTACAATGAAAGAAAGAGCATCAAAGGAATCTTTCTCTTTCTCATGTTGCTCGTGTGCATATTCTGAAAAAATTGATATAATGAAATCAACTGGTATTGTTTTAAAAGGAAACAATGGAGGTATGATGGAAACACAAATGAAAGGATTAACTTGTTCAACATCTAGTGTCAGCATATGTGCAACAATCATAATGGAAGCCTATCATGTGAGTAAGATCTTCTAAACAGAAGAAAATAGTGATCTTGAAGTAAAGTTGATTGAAATACACATATGAAAGAAGAAAATGTAAGAATGAAGATGTGTGAAAATGGTTTGTAAAAGTTGACACAGCACTTTCAAAAAAGCAAATAATAGTGTTTTGGGCATTCAGCAAATTGTTGGGAATGCCCAAAATTTAAAATGCCTGTTCTAATAAGTAGTGTCAGAATTTAAAATTCCTTTCATAGAGAAGGATAGGATATAAGTTACCTAAACACGAAAGGATAATCAAATTTCTGATCTGATCTAAAATCTACACCAAGCTGTCTTATGATCAAGCTGTCACAAGTGAAATATTAATCAGGGTAGGTTCTTAATACTAGAACAGAATTTGGAGCCATAACACACAGCTCTGTCCCGGCTTCTCAAACTGCTGACTCCTCAGCACAATCTATAAGAGCCAGGAGAACACTTTATTATTACGTGTTTTACAGTATTGACTGTATTCTCAGTATTGGTGATAAAAAATACTGAATTCATCCATCAGGAATAGTTTATGAAAAATATATCCCTTTTAGTAATGAAGGAAGGATAAAGATGTTCCCAGAAAAGCACAGTTAAAGAATGTAACTCTAGCAAACATTTCCTATAAAAACCGTAAAAGTCAAAATTTCAATAAAAAAGACAGAACCATTAATGAGCAAGGAAAACATCTAAGAATATATAGCATGTATCCTGTCAATACAATAAAAGTAGAATTCAACAGGAAAACCCATCACAGACAATACTTAAACATGGAAAGTGAACAATTCATTACTGAGTAAGCAGTAGGTCTTCAAAGAGTTAAGAAAACTGCCGTTTTCTCCAACTTCTTGATGTAGGTATTCAGAGCTATAATTTTCCTCTGACTACTACCTTTCTTCTGTTCCAGAGAAAACTCCAAACCCCAGCTTGTCAGAAATAGACAATAAAGTAGACAGAATAAAACAAAATAAACAGTAAATAAACAATAAAACAGAAATAGATAAAGCCGCGCACTGATGGCTCATGCCTGTAATCCTAGCTACTCAGGATGCTGTGGTCTGAGGATCATGGTTCAAAGCCAACCTGGGCAGGAAAGTCCATGAGACTCTTATCTCCAATAAACCACTAGAAAACTAAAAATGGCACTGTGGCTTAAGCAGTAGAGCTCTTGCCTTGAACTAAAGAGCGCAGGGACAGCGCTCAAGCCCAAAGTACAAGCCCCACCACCGACAAAAAAAGACAGAAATAGATAATAAAAATAAATCATTAATCACCAAATTTTAGTAAAAAACCAAAGAACAGATGAATACTGCAAAGTGCTTGTCCTTCTTTAAACAGTAACTATTTGTCTACAGTAAGAATGTCTGTGAGTGTATGTGTGTGTGTGTATGTGAGAGAGAGGGGGGGGAGACAGAGAGAGAGAGACAGAGAGAGAGATAGGCAGAGAGAGAGGGAGGGAGAGAGAGAGAGAGAAAATCCCAAGCAGACATGAAATGAGTGCCTGGATAGTGTCTTTGAACTTTTTTGTTCCATGATAACACTCTGCCATTTGAGCCACAGCTTCACTTTCAGTTTTTGGCTGGTTAATTGCAGATAAAAGTTTCACTGGTTTTTCAGCATGGGCTGACTTCAAATTTTGATATTCACATATGAATAGTTTGAATTACTGGCATGAGCTACCAGCCTACCATAAGAAATTGCATCAACGTACTCAAAAGGCAGGTGTTACTAAACACAATTTCCCACAGTTCTGGCCTAGGAAGGAAGAAAATGGAGTTTCAGCCTTTTATTACAGAACTCATGAGAGTGACTCAGGTTGATTGTAATAGCATCACTTCATTTTCTGCAATGACAACTGAAAGGGAAGAGATAAAGGCATGCTGGTGTAAAGCGAATAATTTACTGACTTGTAAAGGAGAAGCTATCTGGAAGGAAATGTAGTTGTTTCAACTACCAGGCAGAAACTGACTGAACAGTAGGTATAAAGAAAAATAATGAAACTGAGCTGCTCCATGTGCAGTAGGGATGGAGGTCAGTGGAAGGGGAAAGGGAACATTGATGTGTGCACCCAGAGTTTCCTTCGGCATTGCCCATCCCCAGAACAAAAGAGCAAATACAGATAAAATGATGCATTACTTACGGTGTGTGCTCTTCTTGCCTAGAATCTTCACTCTTACTATGATCTTTTCCCAAAGTGTTGAGAGGGAAAAACCCAGTGATTGTCACATCTCCATCAATGTGTGCTCGGTGCTTCATAGTAGAAAAGCAGGCAATGCCAGCCAAGGACCTGACAAGGAGGGGAAGTTGGAGAAGAAGGAGTGTGAAAATCAAATAGAACATCCCTGCAGCATCTCACAACTGGCAGGAAATGAAGCCCATAGGTTAGGCATGCATATTCATATATATTTTATATATGCATGTGTGCCTTTTTATTGATATTTAAACTATAGTTCCATTTTAATCAAGCCTCTTGTGAGTCCCCTGAAGTAATTTGTAAAAGTCTTCCCTGTGGCTACATCTGTGGCCTTCATCCGGGAGAAAAACATGAGTTGGAAAACATGTTCGTGGATTTCCCTTCTTCACCCCAGGTGCTATGATTTCATCAAAGACTACAGAGAGTGAGGCCCCAGAGATGGAGTTATCTTGGAAAATTGTTGGTTCAACGTCTGTGTCATGAAACTATTTCCATGAAAGGCATTTGGGAGGATGCAACTGATCGCCTCAGAGGATGCCATGTCCTGTGAGATGTCAACTAAAGTTCTGAGAGCATCATACCCAGAGGTTTGATTCACACACACAGTGTCCATTACAGCCACAGAACTTTGGTGGTTGATATTGGCGTGTTTTAAGAAGAATTCCATGTGTAAAGGCCTCCAGAAATACAGCCATTTACTATTGCCTGAGAAAGCAATGATTTTGCTAAAACAAGCAATTACATGTCAATAATTTATGGTCAAGGCTGAAATTGCGTTTCACTTTTGCATTATAAAATTTTACATTCAAACATGATGCACTGGGTTGAGAACATTTGGAAATAGAGGAATTTTTTCTGTATCACAAACAAATCAATATCAAAAGCAACCCTATGTTTTCTAGTTGTCAACATATGTTAGAATCAAATTCCATGCAGAGACTTCAGTGTCTCTGGAGAATAATGATATTTCAGGGAAATGAACACACTCTACCCCGTGCTGTAGTGTTGGATGTGTATTTTAGTACAGTTGTTCACAATCATGCATTGGGTATGAGAAAATATAAGTCACATTTCTTCTTTAAAAAATGTAGGAGGAGGGATGGGAAGGTGGCTCAGTGTTAGAGTGCTTACCCTGCATATATGAGGCCCTGGGTTCTATTCCTCAGCACCACATAAGCAGAAAAAGCCGGAAGTGGTGTTGTGGCTCAAGTGGTAGAGCACTAACCTTGAGCTGAAGAGCTCAGGGCAGTGCCTGCACCCAGACCTCAGGTCCCATGACCAACAAAAAGTGTAGGAGGGAAAGAAAAATCTTTTCTAACAAGATTGTTACTGATGGTTTAAAGTGGTATATTCATTTCAACATATATCACTTACTTTTTATTGTAAAAATACCCTACAGAAGGGTTATAATTACATGGGCAAGGTAATGAGTAGATTTCTTATCAAGCATTGTTGCCTCCTCCTTTATTTCCCCTTCTCATCCTTTCTCCCCTTCCCCTCTTCCCTCCTCCCTACCCCAGCCAAAATTGTGAAGTTAGTTTTTCAACCTAATGTCTTGTACATCTCATTGTTGCAATGGGTCCACCTGTATACGTATTTAAACAATTTTTTCCCTTCTCCTCCTCATATACC